CAACCGGTACTAAAGGTGGTGCGCTGCCACCCGCAGTGCACAATGTTTAGTCCCACCTCGCTAGTTGAGAAGAGCTCACACCGGTTTATAAGCCCCGCGCGGCTATCGTGTCGAGCTCCTCTCTAATCAGGCCTTGTGGGCCTATTGCAAGTCTTCTGCCCTGTGGGGCCTACTGGGCCATACGAACCTGCATCCTGGCCCAACTGGAGGTTGGGTTTCTAGTCGTATGCAGGCCATGTCGGCCCAGTAGGCAGGTTGTTTTTGCTTTATTTAAAAAAAATCCACCAACTGGGACTAAAGGTTCCCAAGACCACGGTGCGCCTCGTGCCACGTGGCGGGCCTTTGGTCCCGGTTCGTGCTGAACCGGGACTAAAGGGGGGGGGGGGCTTTAGTGCCCACCCTTTAGTACCGGTTCCAGAACCGGTACTAAAGGTCCTTACGAACCGGTACTAAAAGCCGTTTTTCTACTAGTGTTACAAGGTCAATATAACCGCTTTTTAATTTCTGTCAAGATTAATAAACCACACACGTATCCCACACAAATAGACAACTTGATAGGATCTAACAGGTATATTTTTATCACTTCTAATAACCTCATTGACTGTTTACGTGCCATCGTGTATACCAAGAATACATGAGTCTTGATTTGATTTTTTTTATGACGTAGTGCCCATTAGGCTTTCAAATATTTTACATTAGTGGTACTTCTGTCATGAAACTTATGAAGGATGTATTCCTTTGAACGGTATTTCAGTCATTTGATTTATGTTACATGTGTGGCGGCATGAGAAAATGGAAGTCCCTTAACTAAAAGAGAGCAAAATATTTTTGTCAATTAAAAGAATGCCCAAATCACTATGATATACTCTACGCTTCCTTTGGTGATTTGGTGTTCCACATTTTTGGAATCCAATAATTCTAGTAAATATACCAAGCGTTTTTGTATCGGAGAAATGATTTTTTTGATTCATTTATTTTGGTAGATCAATCTTTTGTACTTCTCTTCATGGAATATAGCCGAAAGCAACCAATGTAGCGTTTAGTTAGTAGTTTTTTCTGTACCAATGTTGCATGTAGTTGGTACTCCCTCCGTCCGGTCGGGCGATGTGCGCGAGGGCGCGGCATGTCGATTTGGGCGCTGAGCGCGTGGAGGAAGGAAGGAGGCGCTCAGGAGGGCTGTCGGTGGTGGCCTCTGTCTGATCTGGATCGAGAGCTACAGAAGGGAGGAGAAGAGAGGAAGGGAATCAGTGATGGGAAGAAGAAAAGGTATGGGAAGAGACGAGGATGAGTCCCTGAGAAGATAAGGTTGAAACAGCGGTGCATGGGGCCTAGGCAACACGCGTCGCCCCGCACGAGACGGATGGTTGAATCGTCTTAGACACACACAAGGAAAACATATATGCCTGGACCCCAATGAAGTAAATATAAATTATCTTAGAGCGCTACTTTTTTATTCCGATTTATATGAGTGCATAATTAACCATCGACGCCAAAACATAGGCATTTACATGTCATGCCCAGAGAGTCCTCAATTGTTCTAAAAAAGGTTTTGGTTTTGAATCATGTAGAAGATGCCACGCTTGACATCCCTGAAGATGGTTATGTTCAAGGTGGTACGGAGGAACGAGGCAACCATCTCATGCATCCTTTTAATCAAAATGTTGATGCTATGAAGAAACAAGAACAATTGCATGTAGGTAAACTTACGTGTAAGTGTTGCATATATGATAGTTTTATATTCTGATGGCAATGCTATGTCTAATCTGCAGGTGTGATATGTTTTGTTATTAGGCATCGACAAACTGATATACAACGTTGTACTAAAGTCAGATGAAAAAGGCTTGGACGCTAGGCGAAGTATGCGGCATTTTTATTATTCTTTCCCTAATAATAATAAAGGGGCTATTGCTTTTGGTCGTTCGTCATGAAAATTGCCCCTGAAGTTGGCACTAATTACCCACCGTGCCATCGGTAAGCGAAGAAAAAAATGATTCATTTTCATTTCAAAATCGCCGCCGGATTCTGTTCTTATAATCCGATACACTTCAATAAAATGAACACGCAAGTGGTGTGATGGGCGCGCTCGTCCACACGGGAGACCAGGGATCGATCCCTGGTTCTTCCCCCTTTTCTCCTCTTTTTCCTCTCTTGAGCGCGCGCGGTAAT